TTTTTTTTTTGTACCGGGAATCGAACTTGGGTCCTTGCGCTTGCAAGGCAAGTGTTACCATTTCTAACTAGTTAATACTTCTATAAGAGATGCTAGGTTTTTCTCAAAAACTAGGACAATACAGTTCATGACTGACAGTTTCCATGAGATAGACCCAGGTACTCAGGAGCAATGACAGTAAGAACAGTGAAATTTTCAAGAGCGTTTACTGTGTGTTCAGCTCTATTGTAAAGCACTTTATGGGTTGTTCATTCATCTCTCTTGATGTCGTGTACCATAGCTACTATTGTAGTGTTATAGTTGAGGAACATGAAGTTAAATGTCCTCCCTGAGGTCATACAGTAGGTAACTGGTGAAATCAACTGGCTTGATTTGAACTCAGGATATCATTTCAGATTCCAAGCTCTTTACCTCTGAGCCTCTCATGGTGATTGATAAGCTATGAACATCATAGGTTACCCATATTCTGACCCTGAATGTATCAATACTAATGATGTATCAGCAAGGAAGACTGATAATCCACCTTCTTGTCTACAGTGGTCACAGGCCCAGCCAGTGGTCAGTGTAGGTGTATGTGTGGGGGTGTTGATGATTAGAGCTGCTGCTGGCAGGCAGCTGGGTGGGGGCGGTAGTCCCTCGCTCCCGCTTTTGTTGGGAGATTCCATGAGGAAGCTCAAGACAGAGCCCAAGTGGAGAATCACAGCCCAGCAAACATACCTCCCAAATTCCTCATCCAGGCCTGAGCACTGTGAAAGACAAGATGCAGTGAACCACAGGAGAAGCAGTGAACAGCACCATTCTTGATGCTCAGGAAATGCATGATGGTTGCTATTTTTCTTCCCTGTCTTCCCATAGGAAGACCCGACACGTCAACATCTTGCTGTTCATGGGCTTCATGACCCGGCCAGGATTTGCCATCATCACACAGTGGTGTGAGGGCTCCAGCCTCTACCACCACCTGCACGTGGCTGACACACGCTTCGACATGGTGCAGCTCATTGATGTGGCCAGGCAGACTGCCCAGGGCATGGAGTGAGCCTCCAGGGGACTGGGGAGGGGATGGGGGGTGAAGAAGTTTCCAGCCAATTCACAACCTGCCTCCATCCCACAGCTACCTCCATGCCAAGAACATCATTCACCGAGACCTCAAGTCTAACAGTATCTACTTGTTCCTGGGCTGGATTGGCATGGGGTGTAAAATGGGGTGAGGGCTTAGAGGGATGTTTCTCATATGCAGGTTTCTGGGGATGAAGACAGCCATGTGTTGCATGGCTCCTTGCCAGGTGACAGAGCTGTGGCTCATGAAGGCTCATGAAGTGGCTTTAATGGGGGGCTCTTGGTTAGGAATCAAAAGATGTGGCTGGTTCAGGTGCTGTTCTTGGGATATCTCAGAGTATGAGGTGTGGCAGTTGTCGAGAACATTATAAGAAGTTCCTGATCAGGGTTATAGGCATGATGGGTTTGAATGCCATTAATTCCTAGTCAGGGGGTCACCAAGGGGCCAAGTATGGAGGGCGTTAATTGTAGACAGTTCATATGTCATTGGGGGGGGTTCTGGTCAGGGTCAGAGGCATGACTGATTTGGGGGTGTTAATGAGACCCTCCCGGTCAAGGTGAGATGCATGGCTATTGCGAGTCTCTGTAGTGGTCCTTGACCCTGGTGGACATCTTCCTACATGAGGGCCTCACAGTGAAGATCGGTGACTTCGGCCTGGCCACAGTAAAAACGCGATGGAGTGGGGCCCAGCCCTTGGAACAGCCCTCAGGCTCTGTGCTTTGGATGGTAAGTTGGGCCAGGCTGAATGGGGGGTACCTAGGGAGATGCAGGCTCCAGGACTGGGACCTGCGGGGCCATGCAGGGATGGGGATTCCTATGCCAGTGTAGGTGTCTAGACTGTTCCTGTTTAACTTCCTGGGGGGCGGGCTCCAGGATGTACCCAGTGTGGCCAGTGGGGTCTGGGACTGTGGGCTGGCCATTTGCTGACCCCACGGTCCCCCTACTCTGTCTGGTCCATCAAAGGCAGCTGAGGTGATTCGTATGCAGGACCCGAACCCCTACAGCTTCCAATCGGACGTCTATGCCTATGGGGTTGTGCTCTATGAGCTCATGACCGGCTCACTGCCTTACAGCCACATTGGTAGCCGTGACCAGGTGAGCCTTATACTTTATCCACAGTTCCCCCCAAACCCCTACCTTTGCACAGACCAAGAATACCATTTCCCTCAGAAACCTAGAATTTTGGAGGAAGAGAACTCCCAGAGTGAATCCCTTCAGTGTCCTATATAGATTCCTCTCTTTCCCATATCCACAAATCTCCATGGAAAAAACCCTCAAAATCAGAATCTGCTGAATTACTATACCAAGATTTGGGCCGGGGATTTAGCTCAGTGGTGATACTGCCTGCCTCCAGACGCAAGGGCCTGAGTTCAGTCCCTGGTACCCCCCCAAAAAAGAAAGAAAAACTATACTAAGAATCCCCTTAGGCCCCAAAACACCCATAAACCCTCTGGACCCCAAGATACCTACAGTCTTCTGCTTTGGGTACTTAAAATACCCCAAGTCCCCAAAACCCCAGAATCCTATTTCTCCCAGAAACAGAATCCCTTTGCACTTCCCGAATACTCACAGAAACCCACAATCACCCAGGCTTTAGATATTCAGCAGGCAATGGGGCCCTGGCACCCGTGAAAATATTCTAGGCCCCATACTCACAGTTTTACAAGTTCACAGCCCAGAACCTCCCAGACCCTCAGAGACCCAAGGTCCTCTAGGCTACCAAGTGTTGGGGTCCTGAACACTCAAAGGCTTACAGGCCACATGGGCTTCAGGCTTCTACAGAAATGCAAGCTTCCTAGAAGCCTGTGGACTCATAGTCCTGTGGGGCCCATACACCTGCAATCCTTGATACCTCCAAGCCTAAGTCTCTGTTCTGCAAGCAGAGCATCCTCTCAAGTCCTCAGAGACCCAAGATCCTCTGGATACCAATTCCTAGAGTACTCTAGTTTCCCCAAATGAGTCTCCCAAATCCTTCAAGATCCAGAATCCCTGGGCCTTTCAGCCCAAACCAAAGATCACCACATTCATGCTTCCCTGCCCTAGATCATCTTTATGGTGGGCCGTGGCTATCTATCTCCGGACCTCAGCAAAATCTCCAGCAACTGCCCTAAGGCCATGAGGCGCCTGCTGTCTGACTGCCTCAAGTTCCAGCGGGAAGAACGGCCCCTCTTCCCCCAGGTGGGCTGGGTAGGAGGGCTGGACCTGCAGGGGGGACACTCTGACGTAGAGAACTTGGAGATGGAGATAGATGTGTACGTAAACCATTTTGAAAGCTCAGAGGTACACCGTGTGTGCGCGCGCGTGCGCACATGCGCATGTGGTGTGTTTCCCCATTAGACTGGGGATGTTGGAATGCCCATGGGGCTCTGGACACCTCTCCTCCCCCTCACCCGCCCCCAGATCCTAGCCACGATTGAGCTGCTTCAGCGGTCACTCCCCAAGATTGAACGCAGTGCCTCCGAGCCCTCCTTGCACCGTACCCAGGCTGATGAGTTGCCTGCCTGCCTTCTCAGCGTAGCCCGTCCTTTGCCTTAGGCCACACCTCCAGCCACCAGAGAGCCGACCTCAGCTGCTGGCCAAGGAGCCCTGCCCACCAGCCAATCAATGTTTGTCTCTGTCTCCATACTGCCTCAGGATCCCCCATCCCCCTCAGAGATGTGGGATCCCTAAGTGCTCTTCCACTTTCTCTGGCATCAGGGAACCCCCCCACCAAAAGACTTGAGACCCCTGCCTCCTCCATAGTTTGGTTTCTCTTTGGCTTTGGGGATACTTCTAAATTTGGGGAGCTCCTCTTATCTGCAATGGCTGGGGTTTGTGGCAGGGATTCTACTCAAAACCTCTTCAGAATTTGTGCCTGATGTGCCTTCACTGGATTTTGGGGTCCCCAGCACCCCATGTGGATTTGAGGGTCCCTTGTGCCTCCCTTGCCATTCAAGGACTCCACTCTTTTCACCAAGAAGCACAGAATCCTGCTGGGCCTTTGCTTGTTTATTTTGTTTTCCGACTCTTGGGGTTCAGAGCCGTTGAGGGGTGGGGTGAATCCAGGCAAGGAGTGGGGGTTGGAGGAAAGTGCGGACCACACAGACAGCATCACTGCACACATCACCACAGGCAGCACGGTGAGCGAGGACCACATATGCCAAGCACGGCACAAGAGGAGGCCACATCAATCACAGACACAGACGTTACAGCAGAGGTGGGGAAGTGGAAGACCACTGGACTTCCTTGTGCAAAGGATTCTGGGAGGATGGGTGGAGTTTGCATATTTAAAGACAGCTGTTGGAGGCAGGAAACTGGCGAGGGGGTCCCTGGGAGAACTGAGGGGTCCTAGAAGCAGAAGGAACTCCCGATATGTTGAATGGGGTTAGGGGAAATGGATAAAGGGAAATCTTTGTGGGGCTGGGTGGGAGGTGGCATTTAAAGATGTGGATCTCTAGAGAGATGGGAGATCATGTAAAGAGACTCAAAGGCAGGGGTTTCTTGACGAATTGGAAAGTGCTGATGAGGAACAAAGTGCTAGATTCAGGACTAGGAATAGGATTTTCCAGGACTTTCTGGGTTGGGAGGGGGGATTCTGTAGTGTTACGGCCAGAAACAGAGTGCTTGATATTTGGGAGTGTCCAGGTAGTGGACAGATAAGGTTACCAGGAATGGAGATCGCCAGGAATTTGGAAGTTCTAAAACAGATCTTGAGGTGACCAGGAGCAGGGTTCTAAAAGGACTTCAGGTTCCCAAACATGAGGACTGGATTTAGAACCAGGTTTCTCAAGCGACTTGGGCATTTTTGAGGGATGAGAAGTGGGATACTGGAGAACCAGGAGAGGGGTTCTCAAAGGATTTGGAGATTTCAAAAGTGAGAAATGGTTTGAGGGCCCAGAGAGGGATTGCCCAGGGATTTTGGGGTTCTGGGGGGTGTCAGTCGGAGAAGAGGCTGGCGAAAGACTTCCTCAGGCTGCGGATGGTCTCAGCTTTCACCTCGTCCTGGCTAAGGCTGGGCCTGGGCGGGGCTGGCTCTGGAAGGTTGAAGGCATTGGTCAGAGACTGGGATTTGCTAGAGAGAGACAAGGTGGAGGCATGGGAGGAAGGGGGAAAGAGGAAGGGGAGGAAGGGAGAGAAACACAATGTTACCCCAGGCCTGGCCCCAGCCCTGCCCCTCCGATCCTGGGGCTGTGCCTGTGACCTTCCCACCCACCACCAAGGGCCTGGACCCTGTGAATTGAGGCTGAGAGGACTCATGGTGTGGGCAGAGACAGGGCCTGGGAGGTGGGACTGGCTGGGAGGACTGTTTTGAGGTGTAGAAGTGTAGGATTAATGGGAAGAGTCCTGGGCTGAATCTGCTGTTTGGGTTTCTGGGCAAGTTTGATATGAAGGGGGAGTCTAGGAGAGACCCAGAGGGACTTGGACCCAGGTCTGTCTGGTAGGGCCAAGTCAAACTGAGGAGGAGTGGTTGAGTGGGGCAGGAAGAATTTCTGAGGTAGGGGGAATTGGAATGGACCAGAAGAGCCAGAGAGGAGGGTGTAAAGATTCGAGAGGAGACACAGACCAAAATGATGTGACTATGGACTAGAAAGAGGTCTAGACTTGGAGAAAGTGAGGATCTAAGCTTCGAAATGATGATGAGGGCTCTGAAGTAGCCATGTGGCATTTCAGGGGTCAACTGGGAGAAGGAGGGCAACTTTGCCAGGAAGGCTGTCTATGGTGGGCTAGGAGGAGATCTGTGTGCAGGGAGGTGCTGGAGGTGGGTCTGCCAGTGCCTGGGATGTGCTAGGCCTGGAGTGGGGACTTTCCCAGGGCCTACTGTTAAGGAATCTGAACTGAAAGTAGAGTTTCCCTGGGATTCTGACTTCAAATCCCTGTGATGAGACTGTAGGGTCTTTGGTGGAGGGGAGGAGTAGAAGCCTGGGGGAAGGGTTGGGCTTAGGCTGGAGGCAGCTCTGAGACCGAGTAGGACATGGGCCTGAGGATCCTGGGAACTAGGGCTGCCCTACTGGGGCCAGAGCCCACTTTGTGAGCAAGGCAAGGGCTGCTATTGAGGTCCCCTTACTTGAGCTGGGGGTGTGGGGGTCCCCCGGCAGCGGCCGTGGCAGGTGGCAGCACATCCTGGCTGGGTTTCTGGGCCAGCTGTGGCTTGGTGGGACGTCCAGCAGGACCCGGGCCACTAGGCCGGGGCTGCTGTGTGGTGGGTGGTCCAGTGCGAGGT